GACAGCCCCTATCTATACCTTGTGGCTAATAGCCACTGATGGATCTCTGCTCCATATGCTTATCCAATTCCCTCTTGAAGCCGTCCGTGCTTGTAGCCGCCACCACCTCCTGTGGCAGTGAATTCCATGTCTTCATCACTCTTTGGGTGAAGAAGGACTTCCTTTTATCCGTTCTAACCCGACCGCTCAGCAATTTCATGGAGTGCCCACTTGAGTTCTTGTATTGTGAGAAAGGGAGAAAAGTAGCTCTTTCTCTACCTGCTCTATCCCATGCATAAAGCAGACACAAAGCAGACGCGACCAAGGCCATTAAGAGAAAGGTCGTAAGTTTAATAGTACACTTTCAGACGCCTCTCCCGTCAACCCAAAATGCAAAAACCATCAAGATGGACGTTGTTAAAAATCTCATACAATAAACAATGCACAGATCTATTCAGGACGTTCTGATGCAAGAACCAAAGTATTAGAAAGTGTAAACATTGCCTATTAAACTGTGCTTTTTATACCAAAGAGGAGTTCCTTGGTAAGTTAGGTTTCGACTCAGACCAATAAGCCACGTGGATGACCTGTGCTTCTTTATTTAAAACAGCAGTCCAGAAGGAATTCCTTAGCACTGGGGTTGGATGAAATCCATGCACCTGTTTCTCCTCAAGTTCCTCTACCTGACAGCTGACTGATGCAGCAAGAGCCCTGTGGCGGGGACCCCATGTAGCCACAGGCAGGCCTGTAGCTACAACGGGACTTTTGGGGGCTCCGCCCCCTTTCTTAAAGGCACAGCCCTGCAAGGATTTCTCCCGTAAATGCTTTCTTCAATCATTTTAAAACATTTTTTAAAGGTGTGTGCTCCTTTAAAGAGTGGAGTACCGCAGTTGACTAATTCCCGCACGGAGCAAGGGGGTTGGAGTAGGTGACCTCTAGGATCCCTTCTAATGCCGTGTCAAGAAACTGGTCTCCTGCCTAAGTGCTATTCTTGACTATTGAAGTCATCACCCCCACCTGCCGGCTTGTTATCAGAATTGTTGCTTCGGCTGGCAGAAGTGATTAACTTGCAGCAGCTGAGAACTGTCCTGTCAAGTGGTTGCCAGCTTGCAGTGTAGAGATCTATCCTGGTAACGGCTTTCTATTGGCTCAATGGCTTCTCTTTCTGCACTGAGAACTTCAGCCCCACCGGAAAAAAATCTGCCCCACGTGCCACAAAATCCTGGCTGCGGGCCTGGCGACAGGAAAGGAAGAACCAATCTCCTTCCACATACCCCACAGGAGAGTCCAATGGAGAGCAATGTGAGGTCTCAGAAGGATTAGCTGACAATGGAATGACATGCAGCTGCCTTCTACTGAATCAGACCCTGGGTCATTCAAATCCAGTCTTGTCTACTCAGACTGGCAGCAGCTCTCCAGGGTCTCAGGCTGAGGTCTTTCCCATCACCTCCTGCCCGATCCTGTGCAACAAAGTGAGTTTGTTTGCCTCAGTCTAAGTCGGTAGTTCAGCAGTTCGAGACCCGAGTGTGCCGCATGACGGAGTGAGCTCCCGTCTCTAGTTCCAGCTCCTGCCAGCCTAGCCATTCGAAAGCAAGAAATTGCAAGTAGATAAATAGGTACCACTTCGATGGGAAGGTAACAGCATTCCGTGCGCCTTGGTGTTTGGTCATGCCGGCCACGTGACCACGGAGTCGTCTTCGGACAGCGCCGGCTCTTCGGCTTGGAAACGGAGATGAGCACCGCACCCCTAGAGTCGGACTCGACTGGCTTTCGAGCAAGGGAACCTTTACGTTTAAGACCCTGGAGAGCTGCCGCCAGTACCACAACATGCAATGATGAAAGGAAGCGAAAGCGGCATGCAATGCCGAGGGGAATTTCTGCCCCAAAGTGGGTTTGCTAAAACAGTGGCGGGAAAAGTCAGTGCAGAACCGCCCCCTGAATGTGGTTTTCAGCTGCACCTTTGGTAAAAACAAGAGGAGGGAAAAGCCAATGCAGAATCGCCCTAAACTGTCGCCTGCAGGCCCCTGGATTTTAACAGAAAAGGCTACAACCCTTCCGCATGCCAAGGAGTCAGTTTGGAGCATCTCTCCCCCCCCCCTAAGTGTAATCTCAGAAAACAGAAACACAGTTTTATTGGGTTTTTTTTTAAAGGAACAGACGGGTAACATGCAGTGCTAGACTAATGACCTCATCTGCGTAACCAAGAAAATTTGCCCCCAGCGATTGGTATGAAAATAAGAAAGTGGGAAGTCGGGTGGTGGTGGTGAGGGGGGGGGGGGAACAGTGAAACCTCAGTCGAAAAGAGCACCAGAAATAGTTTCAAAGCAATGAGTCACCTGGCTGGGAAGGAAGCCGATCTCACTCTTCAGTTGTACCTGCCTCTGTGTATGCCCGGTTCCAGCAGCCAAAATCTTGGTCTTGCACCACGGTCGTCATAATAACCCTGGTGGCTGACTGGGCGCAGAAAGCAAAGGACACAGTGGCTCACAGCCAAGTCAAAGAGCACAAAAGCATCCCATAATCCATGTTTTTTAAAAAGCACAGCAGTGTGGGGTAGTGGTTACAGTGTCAGACTACAGGCTAAGAGATCCAAGTTGAAACCCCCACCTCGGGCCAAGCATTTAGTCACGGCCTAAGCCACCTCACAGGGTTGTTGTGTATTTGTTTCCTTTTTTTTTCATTAGCATTCAAAACTCGTTTTGCTGATCATACAACCCCCCCCCCCAGCTGTACCCCCTGTGCCAGAATTTACAGTCCTGCAAAAACCGGTGGGAGGAGGCAGCCATTTCACACTGGAAGAGATGCTGGAAATGCCAACTTAGTAAAAACCTTCCAGTCCTGGCAAGGGATTGAAGCAGAGAAGCGGCAGCTGCAAGTCATGTTGTGACCCCCATGCACTATATGTATGTCTGTGCTGTCAAGTCACAACTGACCCATGGTGACCCCAGCAAGGGCCCAAGCAAGTGGCATTCTGACATACACAAACTTCTGCACATGGAGGTGATATTCCAGCCTTGGACCGCCCTCTCCTTCTCCATGAATCCCTCCCTAAGATTCTAAGCAGGGCTATTTTGGGGCAGGAACGCACAGGAACAGAGTTCCGGCTGGCTCCCGAGTTGGCCACACCCAGCAGGAACTCATTAGCATAATAGGCCACGCCCAACAGAAGAAACTAATTAGGATTGGCTACATTAGGGGGGTGTGGCCTAACATGCAAAGGAGTTCCTGCTACAAAAAAAAACCCCGTTTTGACAACAAACAAGGTAAACAGAATAAGAAGGGAAAGGTGGGTGTGGCTGGATAACCACACTTCTGATAACATGGGGGTGCGGCCTAATGTGCTAATGAGCTGTGCTGTCAGGGGTGTGGCCCAATATGCTAATGAGTTCCTGTGGTTGGGTGTGGCCTATTATGCTAATGAGTTCCTGCTGGGCTTTTTCTACAAAAAGAGCCCTGATTCTAAGAAACTTATTCTAGTAACCAACTGGACACGTTTTACTTTATCAATATAGAGATGCAGAGAATAAAAAATAGGGAGGAGGAGGAGGAGAGCTGGATTTATATCCTGCCCTTCACTTGGGAGTCTCACTGCGGCTGACAATCTCCTTTCTCTTCCCCTCCCCACAACAGAATCCCTGTGAGGGAGGTGGGGCCGAGAGAGCTCTGAGAAAACTGCTCTTGAGAGAACAGCTCTGAGAGAACTGTAATTGGCCCAGGGTCACCCAGCTGGCTGCATGAGGAGGAGTGGGGAATCAAAATTGGTCCCTCCAGATTAGAGTCTGCCGCTCTTAACCACTACACCAAACTGGCTCTCAAGTACCAACTAACGTATGTCGTGGAAGACACTGTTTCCAGGGTCAGACCTTAGTTTCCAAAGTACAAAATAGAGGAAGGGAAAGGGCCGGGGTGGCCCCTAGGGCAGCCTGGCCTGCGATCCACTTGCGGAGGCTTTCCGGCCCACTCTCGGGTCCCGGCCAATGAGATCAGGCTGCATGAAAACGCCAACAAGGGCAAATTCAGTTTCAGAGAGTAGCTGTGTTGGTCTGCGGTTGAACACCAAGACCCAGGTCCATCTGAGTTCCTTCGAGACCAAGATCTCCAGGGGATAAGCGTTCGAGAATCAAAGCTCTCGAATCAAAGCTCTCGAATCAAAGCTCTCGAATCAAAGCTCACTTCGTCAGGTACTAGTAGGAAAGGAGATCTCTGAGGCTGTGGTCACACGTGCAGTTTGTGGTGCTACGGTGCCGTAGCCTGAGTGGAATAAATGGGCCCCTCCAGACAAGGACATCTGCCTCCCGTTGCGCAGTCATTGGCAGCCAATGATGTTCCACAATGGAAGCGGAATACACAGATACCAGGTAAAGTCCAGTATGGACGGATTGTTTGCAGTTCCCTCTGGGTATCCCGACGTCTGAACTCTCCTGCAGCAAAAGGAACCCGGAAGGGACACCTGAACTTGCAGATCCGTTTCCATCACTGGGGTTTTTTTTAAGTTGCTGCCCACGTGCGCATATGTGCATCCATGCAGCAGCATTTAAATAAAACTCATTGTGGCATCCTCACTTATTGGGGAGATGGTTTTACCTTTAAAACACACTCTGTGTACCATGCAGTGTGACTGCAGCCCGAGTCTTTACATCCCAGTCAGAAGGTGTGGTATTGTACCTTCGCATCCCTTACGAGCATTCTACCCCTCCTGCCTTCCAACCGGGATACGAGGAGTCAGAGATCTCCATTTCTACTTGGGTCTAACTCAGGGAGCTTTGACTCTCAAAGGCTTATAACCCCCCCAAATCTTGTTGATCCCTAAGGGGCTTCTGGACTCGAATCGAGCTTCTCTCTGACTGGGCCCCTGCTCGTATCAAGAGATTCCGAGCAGCAGCGGAAAGACAGAAAAGTGCATTTGAAAGTCCAGTTCCATTCTCAAACGGCCGCTCTTTGCGTGTCAAATTTCAGGGAGACGGCTTCCACCTTTTGGGCAGAGGAGAGAAAGGGCCACGCCGGAAGCGCCGAGTTCCGCATTAGGACTCCAAGAGCGTGTGCCACTGGCACACCTGCTGGCCCTTGGACTCTCTCATCTCCTGCCAGTGGTTCAGCTCCTCCTCGCCGCTGCTGTTCTGCCCCATGGACAGCCAACCGATCATCTCCTTGCGCTTGATGCTGCGGCGGTTGTAGACGGAGATCATCAGCGTGACCTCCGAGAGCTGGAAGAGGGCCACTTGGAAGATGAAAGTCTCTTTGTAGACGGGGTTTGGCTGGCCCCGGCGGACGGAGGTCTTGCACCGCGACATCTCCTGGCCGAATGAGTTGAGCAGGCAGAGCTTGCCGTAAGTGTCTGTCAAAGGCAAAACGGAAGAAGGGAAATGGAAATGAGGGGGGTACAACAGGCACTGCAACAGGACTGCAACAGGCACCCAAGTGTGTTTTTAGGACGTCTATCCTTCCTGAACTGTTTACCCGTCTTTCACAACGAGCCTGTGGAGTAGGGCCAAAAGAAGGAGGAGGAGGAGGCGAAGGAGGAGGAGGAGGAAGGAGACGAAGAAGAGAAGAGGAAGAGGAAGAGGAGGAGGAGGAGGAAGAGGAGAAGATGAAGAAGAAAAGAGGAGGAAGAAGATGAGGAGGAGGAGGAGGAGGAGAAGAAGAATTGGATTTATACTCTGCCCTTCACTCTGAGTCTCGGAGCAGCTTACAATCTCCTTTCCTTCCCCTCCCCACAACAGACACCCTGTGAGGTCGGTGAGGCTGAGAGAGCTCTTTCGAGGAATGTGACTGACCCAAGGTCACCTAGCTGGCTCCATGTGAAGGAGTGGGAAATCAAACCCGGTTCTCCAGATTACAGTCCAGTTAGAGACCAAACTGGGAATGATGGTCCCAAGATCACCCCCTGAACTGAATATTCACCCCCTGGCTGACTACTGATGCAGACCCTGGCCTTGCTGACCCACAACTGACACTCCAGTGACTCTCCTACACTAGGTCTATTTGTTTGTTTATTTATTTATTTATTTAACTTATGCCCCACCTTTCTTTGCAAGAGGAGCCCAAGGCAGATGACATCCTTCTCCCCTCCGCTTCATTCTCACAACAACCCTGTAAGGGAGGGTAGGCTGAGACTGCATGAGTGGGCCAAGGCCACCCAACAAGCTCCCATGGCAAAGTGGAGATTCAAAATCAGGTCTCCCAGATCCTAGTCCAGGGGTCTCCACCTTTTTTTTTGTTGTTGTTGTTGTTAATAGGTAAAACTGAGTAATACAAAGAAATACTTAAAACTGTCCGGATGAAATACAAACACAGCAATCAATTCACAACTGCAGTAGATCAATAGGGTAAGTAGATCAATAGGGCAGTAGATCAATAGGGTAAGTACCCACGAGTTCTTATAAGAACTCGTGGGCACTCCATGAAATTGCTGAGCGGTCGGGTTAGAACGGATAAAAGGAAGTACTTCTTCACCCAAAGAGTGATTCACACGGGGAATTCACTGCCACAGGAGGTGGCGGCAGCTACAAGCATGAACAGCTTCAAGAGGGAATTAGATAAGCATATGGAGCAGCGGTCCATCAGTGGCTATTAGCCACAAGGTATAGATAGGGGCTCTGGGGCAAGTGATGCTCTGTCTTCTTGGTGCTTGGGGGGGGGCAACAGTGGGAGGGCTTCTAATGTCCTGGCCCCACTGGTGGACCTCCTGATGGCACCTGGTATTTCTGGCCACTGTGTGACCCAGAGTGTTGGACTGGATGGGCCTTTGGCCTGATCCAACATTGGCATCTCTTATGTTCTTATGACTTGGAACGTTTTCTCATAGCACCATCTCACTTAACCTCGGAAGCCAAACTGCAGGGAAAGTATTGCTAAGAGCCGTCGTCTCTTTTTGTTGAACATGAGAAGAGATCCCACCCACCCCAGTAACGTAGAATCTCCCTATTTTGTCAAACCATAAAGAGATCGATGGGGTTGATCTGTCCTTCCATCTTGTAGCTGTTGCAGCACTAGCAGCTGCTAATAAAAACTCTTATCGAAGTTTCGGTTCACCAAGGTAATTTGCACCCAGGCCATAAGGATAAGAATAGAAGTTCAGGTCGCATCAGTGGGAGGCGGAGTTTCAGTTGACCAAGGTAATTTGGATCCAGGCTATGAGGTAGGGCTGCCAAGCCGCGGCAGGGGATCCGTGCGTCTTCACAGGATCCCTGCCGCGGGGGACAGCACTACATTCCCAGGGCCCTTTCCTCGTAGGGCTCAGTCTCCAGCCTGAAGCTTTTTTGGTTTTTTCCCCGAAAAGTTGGAAAAATTGAAAAAAGAAAAGAAAAGAAAAAATGATTATGGAACGTTTTATTTTAACATGATGAATAAAATATTTTAAGACAAGGTGTTCAAATATTTTCCAAATCATTTCCAAAAAATATGTATGGTATCAGATTGATCTAATTTCTGTGCACTGAGGACAAGCCAGTCCTAGGTTACAAACTGAACTCTCCAATGCAAGAACAAGATGCATTTCTTCCTTTAGGAGGTGCTATTGTCAGAAGAAAATAAAAAGGTTTCAGTTTTGTTTTTGCATGTGGGTGGGTATTCTGTTTGTAATAATTGTTTGGATACACTATATTTTTAATATGCTAGTTGTGATAATTTCATGCCAAGTAAAAATGTCCATAGTCATATTTTATGTTCCTAAAGTAACAGAATGACTTTCAATCCAGAAAAGACAAAAGAAATGCTAATGTAGCATTTTTTTTCAATTTTCCCGAACATTTCCGTTTTTTCCCGAGCTTCAAAATTTCCGGAAATTTTACATCTCAATCTGCACCCTCTCGATTGTGCCCACATCCTTTTTGAAGTGAGGCCTCCAGAACTGCACACCGTGCTCCAGGTGCGGCCTGACCAAGGCAGTGTACAGAGGGGCTATGACCTCCTGCGATTTCGACATTAATCTGACACTCTTAACTACCACACCATGCTGGCTCTCCAGATACCCCTCCAGATACCCAGAGGTAGCAAATGAAACTTTTTAACGAAGACCTTCGATCATTTCAGTCCAACATTTGACCTTCATTGTTGGGGGGGGGGGGAACATAACGAGCACAAATTTCTAGCTTTTACTATTTGGGTGAAAGAAAACCTGCCACGAGTAAACAGTTTTTAAATGGAGGGTAAGGTTAATTGACTTGCGCTACCTCCTTGAGCCAAAAAATAAAACAAACCCGAAGTTTCGGAAATCCAAGGCAGAGCTCTGAAAGTTTCGCTCGGCACGATGTGCAGCCAGAATGTGGATCGCAGCCAGACGTTTTCTTGCTCTAGCGGTTGGCTCTTTCCCCCCCCTTCCCGTAAGATGTGCTATTTTACGCATCTTTCTGCCTGAGAAACCCAAAGCGTGAAACTGCACATCGGGTGTGAAAACACTTGTGTGCTTTAAATGCAAGGAGACCCTCCGCCTCCTCTTTTGCCTTGAACAGTTTGGATGAAGGAAAAAAGAGCCGGGAAGGCAGAAACCAAGCGCCCCTAAGCAGCTGCAGAGTTGCTGCAGTGTACGGGTCACCTTTGTTCCATTAACCAGGTCTGGGATACCTACCAAATGCACCAAATGACGGACTGGAAGCCTCACCCGCGGGCAGCTTTGCCAGTTCACGTGAAAAGACACTTGCCTGTTCATGGCGGCAATCTGAATCGCGGGCATAACAGAAAATAGAAGCGACCGCTTATTCCAACAGAAGTACTGGGCCACGGTTTCTCCGGAGAGCTCCCGGCCTCTCTGATTCCTGCACACAACTCTGCCGTTACACGTGGTTCACTAGGACGAGGGTCGGAGCTGACTCCGTATTGGGATATTTGGCTAATATAGCAGAGTTCTGCCCGGTCACAGAAGAGTGATTCTGAGTGCAGTAAATAAACCTCCCAAGAAGTATATTGCAAAAAAGAAAAGAAAAGTAAAGTTATATTTATTCAACTAGACCCAGTTCATATTCCTGTTGCAGTCGAAAAGAAAGACCGCTCTCTCGCTTTGTCCACTCACTCTCTCCACATGGCCTTCCATGGAGACATATGTCTCTGCAGGTCTCTCCTGTAGAGACGATGCTCTCATACTCCCACACATACGATGCCGGACAAGCTGGCCATTTGTGATAGGGAAAGTACTCTTTATAGAATCATAGAGTTGGAAGGGACCTCCAGGGTCATCTAGTCCAACCCCCTTCACAAAGTAGGAAATACACAAACACCTCCCCCGACACACCCCCAGTGACCCCTGCGCCATGCCCAGAAGATGGCAAAAAAACCCTCCAGGATCTGTGAAGCGAAAGCCTGAATCTCTGGAGAGCCACTGCTGGTCTGAGTAGACAATACTGACTTGGATGGACACATGGTCTGATTCAGTAGAAGGCAGCTTCAGGTGTTCATATGTCCTCATGGTTTTAATACTGAGTTCCTAGTTGTGTTTTTACACCCTGGGTTACCTGGTTCCTATTGAGTTTTTCCTAGATTTCACAGGTGGGGATTTTGTTTCTCTCAGGGCTTCTTTTGTAGAAAAAGCCCAGCAGAAATTCATTAGCATAATAGGCCACACCCAACAGCAGAAACTCATTAGCATATTAGGCCACACCCCTGACAGCACAGCTAATTAGCATATTAGGCCGCACCCCCCGTGTTACCAGAAGTGTGGTCATCCAGCCACACCCACCTTATCCTTCTTATTCTGTTTACCTTGTTTGTTGTCAAAACCCAGGGCTTTTTTTTGTAGCAGGAACTCCTTTGCATGTTAGGCCACACACCCCGAATGTAGCCAATCCGAATGAGTTTCTGCTGTTGGGTGTGGCCTGTTATGCTAACGAGTTCCTGCTGGGCGTGGCCAACTCGGGAGCCAGCCGGAACTCCGTTCCTGTGCATCTGTGCATTCCTTTTTTTTTTTCCTGCCCAAAAATAGCCCTGATATATTTTACAAATTTGGCTTTTACTGGGTAATATGGTCAGCTCTCTCTTTTTTGGGGGGTGGTTATTTCAAGGTTTTGAAGGTCCATAGAAGTTTTTAGGCCGTCTCAAGTCCCTTGGAAGAACGGTAGGTTGTAGATGCAGAAAAGAAATGATAAATTTCATTTCACAGGGGAGAAGAAGAAGAGATTGGATTTATACCCCGCCCTTCACTTGGAGTCTCAGAGCGGCTTACAAACTCCTCTCCCTTCCCCTCCCCACAACAGACACCGTGTGAGGTGGGTGGGGCTGAGAGAACTCTGACACAAACTGCTCTTTTTCAAGAACAGCTCTTATCAGAACTATGACTTGCCCAAGGTCATCCAGCCAGGTGCAAGTGGAGGGGTGGGGAATCAAACCCGGTTCTCCCAGATTAGA